TGCCATGCTCATTGCCTGCGAACGCAGTTAGCGCATGGAGCTGACACACATGCGTATGTTGAAGGTCACCAAGGCATTCTCGGCAATGAGATAGCCGACGTCCTTTCCAAGCATGCTGCGCAGATTCATGCCTTTGGTTGCGGGATCCAGTGGACATTTTCTGAGCAAACTTTTTGGTTAGACAATGGAGGCCGCCTCCTGCCCTGGGCGGGCATAGCCGCACGTAGCTTACTAGGCGATCCTACCCTGCCTCCCCTATGCCGGCCCGACCTTGGGGATGAGATGGATCATGCTGGCCTAGATGCAAGCCAACTCCTCGACCCATTCGTTCCCCCAGGGCAGCCTGCCGGGATTCCTCCGGCCAGCTCACCACCTAAGATCCCAGAGGCTCCTGATCCAGATCTTGAGCATTGCCAGCTCAAAATCATCAGCTTCAATGCTCTTTCACTGCTACCCCCAAAAGCAGGTCAGGAGAATACGCGTACGGCGGGACTTGCTTTTCAGGTTGGGGCTCCCGCCATTCTGGCTAGCCAATTGAAAGCTCATGACATCCAGATTGCCATGATTCAAGAGGGCAGGAATGCCAAAGGAACCATCCGCACAGACCAGTATACAAGGTTCTGCTCAGGTGCAGTCAAAGGCCAATGGGGCGTAGAGCTTTGGGTCCATGAGGCTCCTTCGAACTCTCAGCAAAGTGTCCATCCACTCGGAGCAAGCAATGCGGTCGTGCTGTTAGCAGACCCCCGCAGGCTGTTTGTCAGATTCACTTCCAGACCGTTCAGCATACTCGCTGTGTCTCTACACGCCCCACACCGAGCTTGCGAAGCCGGGCAAATCACTGCCTGGTGGGAGGAAACCATCAAAGCCATTCGCCATTTTCGGCGAAAGGAAGCCCTCTTAATTGGAGGAGATTTCAATGCCTCGCTTGGCAGCAGGGTTACAGAAGCAGTCGGATCCCTCTCTCCGGAGCCAGAAGATATAGCAGGCGAGCATGTGCAACAACTCGCTCTTGAGCAGGACTTGTTCGCGCCGAACACCTTTGATGCGTACCACGAAGGACCCACCTTCACATACCATCAGAAAAAAGGAGATAAAACCTGCCGGCCGGATTACGTCCTTATTCCGCGCTCCTGGCAGAAGGGACAGATTAGTTCTTACACAGCCCCCCAGCTGCATGCTGGACACTCTGCCCAGGACCATATCGCCACATGTGTCGCAGCCCATCTGGTCTTCGCACGTCCAGCTGGCGGCGCCACTACCAAGCGCCGCTCCATCCCCGCGGCTGCCCTAGTACACCCAGATAATCAGGATGCCGTACGCAAAGTTCTTCTTGAGGCCCCTGTGGTGCCCTGGCGTACGTCTGTGCATGCCCACGCTGCTCTCCTCACCCGACATGTACACGACGGACTGCTAGCTGCCCTGCCGCGCGCTGCATCTCAGCCAAAAAATCGGTACTTGCAGCCCGATACATGGGAGATGCAGCGCAGTGTCTCTAGAATACGGCACGCCTTACATCACCGGCGACAGCACCTCGACCGAGTGCGCCTTCGTGTTGCATTCCAGGTTTGGCACTCCAGTCATGGCACCTTTGAGCAACAATTCCTGCTCAATGGATGGGTCCAGCAAGCATTGCTCTTGCAGGAGGCCCAAGTTCAGCATCTGGCGGCAACAGCCAAAGCGCTTCGCACTGCCTGCAAAAGGGACCGCGATGCCTACTTCAGTGGGCTTGCCGATCAACTTGAGCATGGCCCTGTTGCCGAGGTTCACGGGAACCTCCATCGATTGCTGTGCCATAAACGCAAGAAAGCCTATGCACCTGAACCCCTGCCCATGCTCCGCAAGCCTGATGGTACCACCTGTGCCGATTCCTCTGAGCGATTTGAGGTATGGCGGCGACACTTTGGCGGGCTCGAAGCTGGTCAGGAAACTACTTTTGCAACAATCGCCCAGCGGGCACATTCTGGAGACCTCTCCAGACCATCAGTGCACCCACACTGCATCTTCGATGTTGCGAGCCCAGCCTTTATGCAACAGTGTCTCCGAGCTACTAAGCCCCATAAGGCCCCTGGCCTTGACGGGCTTCCTCCAGAGCTATGCCAACAATTTGCAGCCGATCTTACGGCGATCCTGCACCCCCTCTTTATGAAAATTGCGTGGCGAGGCACCGAGCCAACTGGCTGGAAGGGGGCTTCTTCTGTCTACTTCTACAAGCAACGGGGTAGCCATGAGGAGTGTGCATCGTACAGGTCGGTGCTCCTCTTGAATACGTGGGCCAAGGCATGTCATAAATGCCTCCGGCCGGCCCTTAAGACGCATTTTGAGAATGTCTCTTCCCCCCTGCACCTGGGTGGCAAGACTGGTTGTTCAGTCACTTTTGGCAGCCACCTTATCCGGACGGTTGTCCGATGTGCCACGGAACAGAAGTGTCCAAGCTTCGTCATTTACGCTGACATCGCCTCGGCCTTCTACAGTGCTGTGACTCAGCTCGTTGCATGTGCAGCGTCCGATGCTGCACGCTCCGACTTTGATGCCCTAGCTGCCGAGCTCAAAATCACCACCTCCGAGCTTGAATCGCTGCGCTCTCACCTGAACAACGATCCTGCCATGCTTGAGCAAGGAGCGACGCCATGGCTCCAAGAAGTCACTGCCCGCATGTCCCTCGATAACTGGTGGGTGCTGCAAGGTGACAGCACGCCCATCCTCACCCGGCGAGGCACCCGACCAGGTTCCTCTTTTGCAGACCTGGTGTTCGCTCTTCTTCTTCCAAAGATTCAACGCCTACGTGACAGCCTTCGAGCCAACGAGCTTGCCAGGAGCTCCGCCCCCTCCTTTCCCTGGGACGGCGAGCACAGCTTCCTGCCCTGCTCCGCTACCAATACCATTCAGGTTGGGGACGTCATTTGGGCAGATGACATAGCAGTCCCTCGCATATGCCATCGATGCCATGACCTCCGCGCAGCAGTAGCTGCGGAAACTGGCGCCCTCACTGACTCCTGTGGTGAGCACGGCCTACTACTGGCGTACGGCCCCCACAAAACTGCTGCTGTCGTGACTGCAAAAGGTCCCGGGTCACGCAAAGTGCGCCAGGACCTATATGGCCCTGAGGAAGGGCGAGGCACTATCGAAGTGCTACGGGAGCACACGCATAGAGCAAAACTCCCGCTGGTGCACTCCTACCGACATCTAGGCACGCAGCAAATGCCGGCCGGATCCCTTTCACTTGAGATCCGGTACCGAGTCGCCCAGGCAAGAGCGGCGTACAGTGAGGGACGCCGCAAGATCTACAAAAACCGACAAATCGGGGTGCGAAGGAAGTGCTTTCTCCTGCGCTCCCTTGTCCTATCCAGGCTCACCCAAGGGGCGGGTTCGTGGCCTCCCTTGCCGCGTCGCGACAAACAAGTCTTCGACACAGCGGTGTGGCAGTTTTACCGCGGTGTGATCTGCATACCATGGAACGGGGAGCAGGACCTCACCGCGCTTGCTTGTTATGCCCTCACAGGTTTGCCGTCCCCTGACACGCTCCTGCGCACGTGTCGCTTGCAATATGTTTGCCAACTCTGCAGAGCTGGCCCCGACCCTCTGTGGGCTGCACTGCGAGCCGATCGCTCCTTTTCCGAGTTTATCCTGGCCGACCTCCGCTGGATGCATGGCTGGCTGGCGACCACCTCGGACCTTGGGCACCCTGATCAGTGTTGGAGCTCTTGGTTCCAAATGATCCGGGACCGTCCAGGGCGATATAAGGGCCTGCTTAAGCGTGCATGTCGGCTCGATCAAGCCCGTCTTCAGTACGCTGCTGCCCTAGATGGGCTGCACCGTGCTATCCTCATGCACTGCAAGCACCAAAGTCCAGCTCCCATCGCCAATCCGTTGTGTGCAGAGATGTGCATACCGTGCAAGCGTGCTTTCAAGGACAGAGTATCCTGGGCGGGGCACGCGGCCCGATGCCACGGATACAGATGCAAAGCCCACCTGGTCGGGGATGGGACCCTGTGCCGCGCTTGTGGCAAGCGTTTCGCTACGCAACACCGACTGCGGAGACATCTGATCAGTGTGCCCTCGTGTGTTCGGAACTGGGGTGCCTTCAGCCCCGCCGATCCCGATGCCGCAAAAAAAGCACTGCATCTCCTAGCTCCTCCCAGCGTTGCGGCAGGTACTTTCGAGCCACCACCTGCCCAGACCACAGTTGATGATGTCTCCGACCTCCTTCTCAGCCGTCTCTCAGAAATTGTTGACGGTGAGGAGTCAGAAGTTTGGGCCATTATCTCTGAACATATTGAGCCGCTCCAGGTCCTGAGGAACACTGTTGCGGCTTGGCGAGCACAGCATCCGGACAGCCCTTGGCACCAAGAAGTGTCCGAGAACATGAGCTTGCTCCTCGACCCGGAGATATCGGCCGAGGTATTCCCGGAAGGCACCAGGATCTCTCGCCCATCCCAGTCTGCACTGCCTCAGTGGCACACTCCCCGTGGCCTGTGTTTTGCTCTGACAGGTGATGTGTACCGCCGAGAGATCCTGCCGCCCCCAGACGGCATTCTACAGATCGACACTCCAACTAGCATCCCCCTACGTACAGGCATCGGCATCGCCGATTGGGCAGAGGCTGCATGCACAATAGTTGCTGAGTGTGTTGCTATCGCACCCCGTCAACCCGTGATGCTACAGTGTCCTGGATTTTGGACATGTATGCCCAAGGTGCGTGAGTGGTGCCTTGCATTGGGCTTCCACTGCTTTGAAAGTGGCTTTAGCTCCCCGAATCTGTAGGAATGCCGACTCGTTTCACAGAATTCATCTTCCTGCTAGGCGTGCGTCTACCTCAGACTCCATCGCTCCGAATGAAATGAATGTGTTCTGTTGTGTTGTGTTGTTTGCGCACTTTGTGAGTAACGGATCCGCGACTTGAGCCGGAGACGATTGGCGCGGTCTCAAAGCGGAGAAGTTCTTGCAGACTGTTTTCGCATAGGTGAGCAGAATTGAGCGCACGAAGTCTCGAAGTCTCGAAGGAGCTCCCAGGCCTGACGCCTTTCACTCGCACCAGGCGAGACAGGGAGAGAGGGGTGGTAGCTGGCTATTCCGATGCCGTTGTCCGTCAAGGCAAGGCCTGAAGAAAAAGATGATGAAGGACGATGCCCGATGCCAGTGTCCCCACGCCTATGATTGCATCGTCTTGCCAAGGGTTCATTGCTGACAGATCTGCTGCTTGTCATCGCTGCAAGGGCCTGTATCACCGTGTTCGATGTAGGACAGGCAGAAGCAGCTGGCTTCCACCATGAGCGAGGCCTCACTGCGAGTTGATTCGGTTCGCCTTGCAGAGTGGCCGGCCTCGCATCAGGGAAGCATAACTGATGGTCTTCAGAGGCCTCTGATTCTGGGCAGTTGTGAGTGAGAGCTCTCGATTTTGATACATATGCAGAGGAAGCCGACAACAGACGATTTTTCGTCTGTTGAAGCAGCAAAGGACGAGTGTTGGGTGATCGTGACTAATCCCTGAACCCAGCCCGTGACGTTTTCGATCTGCTCCTGAGAAGAGGTCCTCGCTTCGAGTAATCGTCACGAGCTGCTTGAAGACTTTTTAAAACTACCCACCAGCGTGTGATTGAGGAGAAGCTCGCGCTGCAGCTTAAGGAGGAGGAGGCAGATGGGCCCTTGCAGCGACACTGCATTGCTGTGCAAACATCAGAGCAGTTCTCGGAATGCCAGAGGAGAAGCAGAAGGATGCTGCGATCACCGCGTTGAATGCTGCTCTCTCGAAGAAGTGTCTGGAGCGGATCACTGCCACGGCTGTTCACTGCTGGTTGAAATCCAACTCGAGTGTGGTTCGAGCTCATCCTGCGGCATAACGATCACCAGTAATGTATGCCTCGCGACTTCAGTGGCATCCGGTAGGGCGGAGGCCTGCTACTGCACAAGCTGCCGGAGTTTGAGAGGGTTGTATCGCAGGGCAAGGGAAGCCTCCTGAGATTTTGAGCATTCCAATGGCCTATAGCCTTGCTGCATTTGTCGAAAAGATGCAGTTGGGGATGGCACTGCCTTTCGCTTTCGTAATGCCGTTTTGCCGAAAGCAGGACGATCTGGGAGCAGCAATCCAGATGATGGAGGCTGTGGCTTACACTGGAAAAACCTGATTCCCACACCTACAACGTAATCATTCAAGCACATTTTGTCAGGCGGTCGGCCTGGATTCGCATGAGCTCGTTGCAACAGCAAAGCGGGTGCGGCATCGATCTTGTGCCTTAGTGCCTTACACAGTCTTGTTATGTCTAGTCTATATCATCTCAGACACACATATGTGCCAGTCGTGGCTTCGCAAGTTCCTTATGTTGCTTGATTGATGGTATCCTCGTCCTCGCAGGATCAGGAGATGCTGTCCCGGCGTCATCTGCAGCTTTGTGAAGAGTCCGTGTGCGCTCTTCAGGCGCCCGAGGTCTTTGCAGTAAGTCACTGGGGTGTCATAGCGGACTCAGTGCTGAAACCTGCACGGAGTTTGGGAGTGTTATTGCCAGTCCCGGTCCTGTCGCCGACTCTGCCCAAAGCTGTGTTGGCCACAGGCTGCACTGGAAGCACCGCGAGATGACCGATTCGGCCCGCGACATTGTGGCACACTTCACTGCCTGGCCAGTGCCTCCCGCAGGCCAAGCGATCCGAGAAGCTTTGCAGAACGCTTCCTTCGCGTGCCAAGTGTGAGCCTCAACCGGGATCTGAACCCAAGCCAGATCATCCCAGAAGGGCCTCCGGCCTCGAAAAGCGATAAACACGCAAAACGAGCCGGGGGGAGAGGGGGCGCAACGGCGTTAGCCAAATGCATGAAAATGCTCGACTTGCCGAGGCCGTTTGAGTCAAGTCCTTCCGTCTCCTACTGGGTGGTCGGCTTAAGTCGTCTCATTTTGTGTAAGGTCGTCTCGCGCGGGCGTGCACATGGGGATAGCGCATACAAGCTCGTAACAACATTTAGTTGGAAGTCATTTCACCGCGGCAAGCACATGGTTATTCCGAAGCAAAGCGTGGGAGCCAGTTGTGTGGCGACATTGAAAACCCAACCAAAACGCCAAGCCCTACTCCAGATATGCATGGATGTGTTTCTCCGTCTTGAGGCCTGGATAGCTCCCACTGGAACGTCACGTGCAATTGCATTTTTCGTTGGTTTCAATGCACGATTGCTTCACTTTGTGCGAAGAGTCTCGTGACACGTGCAGATTTGACATGTCGGGCTGTGCTCGTTCAAAACCAGTGTGTAGTTGCGGATCCCAGTTTGTGAGTCGACTTTTTGCGGATGGGTCGACTTCGAGCGAATCTGGGCGTGAGCTTGGGGAGAGCCGACTTCACACAACCTGCGTCGACGTAAATCCAGCGCCTAGTATCAGCTTAAGCATGCGCTTGTAGTGACGATCCTGGTTCCGTTCTGGGACCGCGCTCTAACATCACTTCGTCCGCCTTTTTGCAGAGACTCGCAATTGTACTGTGGGGTCAGTGCGGGTGAGGGCACTTCGTCTTCGCCCTCACATCGATTCCTATGGTTTTCCTCACATGACCTGTGTCGTCAACACCTGTAAAGCTCCATCTTCTCACATGGAATCCCTCGGACGACACCGCCAGCACCTGCCCTCGTCGCATGTGAGGGCCGCTTTGCTGTGCCCGTTGCAACAGTCCATGCAACCGGAGCGGACTAGTGGGCATCTAGGGGGCATCTTTTTCACCGCTGCACAGAAGCCCTTTAAGTCATCACAACCAACAAGATCTCAACAAGCTGGACTTGCACCACATCGAGGCTACTCTGCTTTCTAGAGAGATGTCAGCTGGAGCCCATGTAAGGTCCAGGGAGGTCAGCGGGTATGCAAAGAAGCGCAGAATGTCCGAAGCCTGGAGGAAGCTGGCTGCTTCCAGAATAGCGCAACCCCCAAGCTTCCTGTCATTAGCAGCCTAGCAGTGAGAGCTGTTCAGGCTGTGAGGGTCTGGGACGAGGTCCGGCAGGGGTCGATGTTCAGTGTCACGAATTGGCTGTCACTGCGAGCAGGTCCGAATGGCTTTGCAGATTGCCGTCAGGACTCCATAGCGCCATAGAGTCTCCCCACGAAGCTACGAAATGCGTCAATACGTCGTGCAAGATGCGTCAGGAATGGTTGTCCAGATGCCATGCGCCTTTGCATCCTCGAGGCTGGCGAGAAGTCACGAGCAAGGTTCTGCTCTCTCTCTGCTAGGCGCAGACAGTGCAGAGAACAGCCTGGCATCAATTCGAAGAGGCGCAAGCTGCTGGCTTCTCGCAGCTGTCCTTGCTTGCGGAGGCCTTGCTGCACATGTAGCCGTGTAGCCTTCATATGCCCCTTGAAGGAGTTGCACAACTGACACTTGCCAGCTTTACCAGCTTGCCAGGCAGAGCGACTTGTCCAAGAGGCTTCGTGAGAGTCGGAGGCGACTCCAAGCGTCCAAGCGACTCGGGTTGGCGTCGACTTCTACCTCGCGAAAGATCGCGAAGGATCGCAAGACAGCGGCGACAGCGGCGAGGATTCGCGAGAAATTCGACGACCTGTCGAAGGGTGCGACAAGGTGGCAACATGTGGCAACTCGACCGTGAGCTGATCTGGACTGCAGCGTCAAGGCCCCGACAATGGCTGCAGAGATGTCGAAGTCCTGCTTTCGAGGCCAATCCTGGCATGCCATAGTGCCATAGCAGGATGGCGGAGTTCAAAACCGCCGTTTCCCTCAGAGAAGGCAGCGATGGCTTCTGTAAGCGCTCTTCATTTTTCCAGGGCAGTAAGTGCAAAACAGTGAATGGATGGAGCTGTTGTAGGTGGATTGCAACCTGCAGATTTCCTGTCAACCCTTTTGATTCAGCTATCGCACGCCGTGTGGCCTTTTTTGGCTTCCACAGCTCTTGACAAGCATTGGCGAGATAAGTCGTGATCTAGCCAGCTTCTGGCACGTAAACCCCTCAGTTCACTGGGTTGGCTGTCTGAATCGGTGAATGCATCGGTGCAAATAAACTTTAGGTGAGCGTCGGGCCTTGAAACTGGGGTGCACGTGCTAAGTGTACGCTTGGAGCCATGAGTCTCCCAGGCCCAGGCGTGATGCTTCGCTCTTGTCATTGGGATGGTAGTTGCAGATCAGGTGATGCAGAGCCACGACATGAGCGGCCACCCTCACCATCGTGGCTTATTGTGTTTTACAGCAACATGTTCTTCGGGTGCGCAGGCTCCACGCTTCTTGCCCGTGGCACTAACCATCGCACAAACATCGCCATCTCAGCTTGACTTCGCTGCAGGCTTTTCTATCGTCTTGCCTACCCTGTGGCCGTACCTACGACAGATGGATGCCTCGACGGAGTTTCTGGCTGCAGTCGTTGCAGCCTACAGCGTCGGTGAGGGCCTGGGAGGACTTTGCCCGATCGTGCAGTGTGCAGCATACTTCCAGTTTGATGCTCGTTCGCACCGCTGCTATTGCTGCTGCTGTCCAGTCACTACTCGTATCATCCGTGTGCGCTCATTCTGCAGGATGGACCAGTGGCTGGCTCTACCATCGGTATCCCGAGCATCCAAAGGCCCTGTTGTTGGGCGGGATGGCAATAGGGCTGCTGGCGGCTGCTTCCTACGTGGCGTGGCCAAAGCTATAGTTGATTCTTCCTGTTGCTTTGACAGATCTCAGATTCCCTTGCCTTTCTTTCTTTTGTAAGGTCGCGGCAGGGATGTTTGGAAGTGCTGCTGCCTACGTCGTACTTGTTGCTCGCTTCGCCTCGGGCCTTGACAATGGAATCCGCCAGGCCGCAACCCGAAATTGTCAGAGATGAACAGAAGAACTCCTGAAAAAGCACGTGTGCAGACCATCGAGCAGACCTTCATCGGAAGCAAGATTCCTGCGCGTCACCAGACTTCTTGCTCATCACGGCTTTCAAGCTGTGGAATCACAGGTGCGTAGGCGTACGCAAAGTCTTACGAGACGAACAAAACCCGCCACTTATAACCTAAGCAAAGCATACGCTTTTGCTGCCATGCGCTTATGCAGGCATCATGATGGGACCGGCCTTGGGAGCTCCTCTACAAGCCATCGATTTCAAGCTGCTGGGCGTTACGGTGGATGGCAACAACGGTCCCGGAGTAGTGCTGCTGTTTGCACCCCGGAAGCAGTGAGTTGTCCCCCGAATCCGCAAAGCGAAGCACACAAGCGCTGCACTTTGCGCAGATGAGGTCTGCATCATGAACATGCTCATGTCCTACCGATTTTTCAACGTCGAGTCAGGCGCCGGGCCCTGGCCGCGGAGGGTCCGGCGGAGTCCCCCATTTTTGTGCTAGAGTCTGCATGTGCTCTGCGAGGCACCGTCAGTCAGCCAAGACTCGAAGCTTCAGAATCACAAGATCGAAGAGGGCGGCCGCCGAACAAACGCGGACTTCTGGCTGCTGGGTTTGTTTAGATGTCGAGATTCTCTCAGTGACTGTGGTAAGTCAGGAGTGTGGAAAGCACGAGTGGAGTGGTAACAATGCAGCGCCAGTCAGAAAGCGGGGATCTCCAAGCGAGCATTCGCATGCGCTCGCAATTCGCGGCAACGTAGTTGAGCAACGAGGCTTCGGGATGCTTCGGGTTAGGTTAACAGTCGACGACTCTGCTGGGGAATGCATAATGCACCTCGGTCGTTTGTTGGGGGGGGGCTCGGGGGTCCTTCTCCTAAGTCACATCGGGGCACACCAGACGTTCCAGCCGTTTCGCTGCTATCCTCGAGCCTCGAGCAGCAAAGCTCGGAGGCAACGGACCTGCTGTGACCCTGGGCCCGCTGGGTGTCGAAGCGCAAGCCGAGGTTTGCTACATGGTTTTCTTTGGAGTGAACCTGAACATGGCGAGTCTGGAAACGATCACTCCAGTGCTTGCACAGAGGTTCTAACGGCTCGTACGATCTCGTACGTGCTTGTCGTGCATGTGGCATGCAATCCCCTTTCCATGCGCATTCGCAGGCTTTACGGATGGGGGCCGTGCTTAAACCCTGCCGAATGCCCTTTTCAGGCCCGGGAGTTCCGAACATCGGAGTTTTCTTGGTTTTCCTTGCGAAATCTTGCGAATCTCTTTGCATTCAGGCAACACAGATATATGTCAACCTGCTACTTAGCTGCGGCGGTTTGCTGAGCCTCGTCCGGTTCTCGGAACGGCCAGCAACGCAGGTGTGTTTCAAGAGAACTGAGCTTCCAGGCCATGGCTGCACTTATGGCGTTCCACCTGGGTCCATACATCTACAGACGAGAAGTGGTGGCCATCACACTGAGCCATGCCGTATCAGACGCTGTATAGCACATGGCAACACCGGGAATCTCTCCATCTCATCCCTTTCCAGCCTGAGGTGTTGGTGAACCTTGGTAACATTGACTGCGGAGGCTCTTTGCCTGCTTACCGCTTTGTGCTGGACTATTTGCTGGGAGCTGGAAGCTCAGTCTGGGGAGTCCGATGCCTCGCCTGATCTAAACGTGGCCGTGCACTCCCTTGACCTAGGCGTTTTTTGGAGGCCTTGCGCGTGGACCCGGCGTGGCACTGATGACACAGATCATTGGCCCTCATCCCAAAGCAGCTACCTGGCCAACCCACCTGCAAGTAGCATTCGCGACATGTTGTCCCAGCCGAAATTCCGGTGTTTGCATGTGTGTTGTTGCGACCCTAGCATACGGCGTGACCACAGTCCCTTCCCAACGACATGAAGGCATTGATTGTTCCTGTTTGCAGCTGGTGCCTGTGCCCTCCTGTGGCTCTGCTCCGTTCTGGCAGATCCCGCATGTTCTTTGTTCTTTCTCTACTTTCGGGACCATTCGCAAAGCCAAATTTGCACCTTTTCAGAATGGTTTGGTGCCACTTCAGCACAGCCAAGGCTTATATGGGTTTGCTCTTTGCGATCGGTGCGGTGCCTCGAATCGTCGGGCCGTTCCTTTTCGTAGAAACATGACCGCACTCATCAAGACAAGCTGAACACCTGGCCCCAAGCGATGGACCAACGAGTTCTGGATTCCAAGGAACTATTACAGCTTCCATCACCCTCGCACGCAGCAGACTTTACCTATGTCTACGAGGCGTCTGCAGCAGTAACTAGTGCAGTCGTGTTGATGCTGCGAGGAAGGCCTGCCCCTGTCCTTAGCTGACCTGAATCCGAGCTTAGTATAACTCAGCATCAAAGCCGCCCCAACAAAAAGCTTTGGCAGAGCTTTTGCCTTTCAGTAGTGAGTGTAGGGCCATAGTGCATCCTGCGAGGGCAGCAAAGATTCCAGCTTCACCAGCATCACCACAAGTCTGAGTGTTTCCTTCGCGAAAATGAGCTGTCCCTTTGCTCGACTTCGGCAGGGTCCTGTTCCGCGTACCTGGCTGCTGTATGGTTGCCAGACGGACCTTCGGCTGATCTGGCAGGCAGGACATGTTCCTGCAAGTATCGTGACGAGGCCGTGTTCTTGGTCATCTTCCTCAGCGTCCAGATCTTCAGGCAGGCTGTGGCACCAATGAGACCACGACACTTCTCATCATAAGCGAATGAATCCCAAATCTTTCCGTGAGGAAAGATCTGAAACCGCACCCGATGCATGGTGACATCACATCTTGCAGAGATTTGTCCGAGCCACTGATCAAAGAAGATTGTTCTCCAGCAACTTGGCTGTTCAATGCACAAACGTTGACCTTTGCACGCAGAGACATAGACTTGCCTGCGGCTGCCCTTTAAAGGGGACGTGCACGGATGTTATTCCCAACACGCCTTCGCTGGCCCGTGCCTGAGCAGCCTGGACATGTGCCGGCGACGTCTTGAGCGAGTTCCTTCCGAGGTGAGAGAAGGCATTGCCAGTTTCGAGGACCTCACAAGGAATGCGAGCTCTCGCAGTATGCTTGGCCTGCGGCTTTGCTGTCAAGCGTCGTGATGCATGAGACTTCTCCATCTGGTCAGTTTTGAAGATCTTGACTCAGGCTGAGCAAGCTAAGCACGGAGCACTTTTCTGAATTGGGTTGCCGAGTCGCTTTGTAGAGTGTTCTCCGGACCATCCGGACAGCGACTGAAAGAAGTCTGCTTTGGAAGCCTTGCTTCTGCAGCTCCGATGTGGGCAGCGGGGTCTGTACAGACAGGCGCCAAGGTGTCGGCCCCGGTTGTGCCATCGCAGCCTGTGTAAGTAGTCTGACCGAAAGTCGATGCTTGCATTCCTGCGGCACTATCCAACGTGGTGCCGGACAAGACTGCTGCCTAGCGGGTTCGACCCGAAAATGGCCACGTGCTCAAGCCCATTCGGGAGTCTGCAAGCGAGTGAGTGAGGCGCGAATCGCCGAACGAGCACAGCAAACTTTGCCCCAAAGTGACGTCATGGTACTGCAATGTTTTGAAGGCCTTTTGATGCAGCGTTTTGCTCGCAACAGGCCGACAGGCTGCTGTAGATCAAGAGAATCAAGTAGCGCTTGCGTGAGCGAAACCATTCCCATGACGGCCGAAGGAGTCGGCTTGCTTGATGTGGAAGTGGCATCAGCGTCCCTGGAGTCAGAATCAGAGTCACTCACCGCGAAGTTATTGCATGCATAAGCCCGCACAGCCCGGACAGCCTGACAGCTTAAGCAAGTGCATTGACTTGCTTGTGGCGAGCTTTGCCCCGGGAATGGATCCCTACATATCGCAATAGTCTCGGTAATAACCCGCACGAATCATGTTTAGTCCCATTAAGAAGGTCCTCCAAATCGCATGTGAGACAATCTACCCTACTGCGGAAGTTGACATAGACACGTCTAAAGTGGTGCAAATGGCGTCTTCTCGCAACAACCTGCCGGAGTTAGGGGTTTGGAGACTCGAGCGATGCATGAGGAGTGCGTAACGGCATGGTGCAACATCGTGAGGGATTGCATAAAGAAGTGTAGTCTTCAGCTTTATGATCCCTATGCAATCCCGACTTGGAGCCTCCAGTTGTTGTTCCCTGTTCCCATTGGATCCCCAAAAGTAGCCCTTGTTGAGAAAGTCCTGCATGAGGACGGTCATTGTAGTCAGGATGGTAATGCGAGGAGACAGACAGCCTAGGTGTTACGGTTTAGGGCCACTGAGATGTTCAAGTTGGCGTCCATTTCGGGATCATCCTGATACAGTCTCTGTGGTCCACGTGTGGTCCTTCATTCTTGTTGGAAAAATGCCCCCGATGGTTTAGGGCATTCTCGGCACATACAAGCCCTATAAACCTCCTAGGACAGCCAGAATCTGCATGGCTTCCAAGCTGTTGTTTTTTGACCGGTTGGCTGTGTTCGTTCTTTGCAGTTTGGCGCCGAAGCGGCACCACCGTTCCAGAGGATCCTTGTTAGCGTCCCAGAAGTCCTACCAGTTCATGGCTTCGTCCTGGCAACTAATTCACGGACTCTTACCAATGGCTTCGATGTGCTGTGGCTGGTCCTTACAGATTGCAAAACCAAGCAGGAAATCTCGTGTCGTGGTTTCGCTTGCTTGTCGATAATTCCAACGCCCCGAAGAATAAATGTCGAATCGTGCCTGCCGTAGTAGATGGTGCAAGATCTCCTCCATGACCCTGAAACCCAATATTGAAACACTACACCCCGGTGCAGAATAGGTCCCCGCACGCTCCGCCGGCATCCGGAAAGCGTTCCTGGACTTGGATTGCTGTAGGAGCACTGGCAGTGGGTGCCTTGGACGTGTGGTGGGGCTTCAGGATTTAGGGTCTCGCGGGCGGGGGGGGGGTAGAGTTCTGTACGTCTGTGCAGTTTTTAAGTTGTGGTTGCTTCTGCTAAAGCAAATCCGTTTCGTGTCGCTGCGGCAGTAGTCTCCAACCGCCACAGCACCCTCCCACATGCTACGCCTCCCAACCGCCCCACGTAGGATCCGGATTGAGCAGGGATTTTGGGCCTCGACTTGGCATGTCGCTGCAAGACTTCGGTCGGCAAGAGGGTGCGGGATTAGGGGAGCAATTGTAGGTTTGTTGAGAATGACAGTTTCCGGGTCGAAAAGTCAGGAATCCTTCAGGGATGTTTGCTACAGTTGTCGTTTTCGGATCTTGTTATCTCGGCGACGAATCATACATGCCCGCAGGCACAGGATTGGGTGGCTTGCCGTTCAAGTCTCCCTTTCTCGTAGCTGTTGCCGTTTCCTGATCCTTGTTTGATTTGGCTGGATGCGCTGCGAGTGAGGAGTCTCAAGCCGTGTAGAATCTTCAAGGGGCCGGAGAATCTCCTGAAGGATCCGGAAGCTAGCTTTTTCCGATCTCCCGCAGAGTGTAAGGAGAAGAGCCTAAAGTGAGATTCAGATTAAACTGGTTGACGATTAGGCACTATCAAACCTTGAAGCCCAAAATCCTGACCAAGGCACCGTGGCCGTCGTCGCATTTTCTTTCCACCGCCACACCTTCGAGGCCTCGGGGGACATCAGCGAGATGGAAATGCCGTGGCCCTACGTCATGGATATGGATAAGGACAGACTTGGGAATGGGAATATGGCCCTCCGTTCGCTTAAGCTCCCGAAAACTCACTTGATATTGAATGCCCCCGATAGTCAGAAATCAGCTGAGTACTGGTAGCTCACTCCTTAGCAGGGGCTCCGCGGCGTAAAATCCAATACCGCTCCGATGTTTCCTGGCAAGGCCGCAATAAGAGGCTCCTTTAAGGGCTCCTTGGTGTGGTCTCGATCTCCCGCCGTTCTCAGGGGCTTAGACTTTTCCCTTCCCTCCAAGTCCTGTGAGTCTCCAAGGGTGTGGAAAGGGGTGCTGGGGTCTCCCTCTATGATGAAATTCTTGGTTTCTCCACCTAACCCCAATGCTCCTTACAGGCAGAAGTTCCTGCATGTCGCGATACAGGAGCCCGTGCAGGCTTCTGGCTACGAGAAATATTCCAGTTTCATTTGCACACAGCAAGACCTGGCTACCGACAGCGTCTGCTTGAAGGCAGTGAACAGAAATACAAAGTTGGGATTATTGCGTTCAGAGCTCAGAACCCAAAGCTTCAACACATCGCATCCAATGTTGTGAAACCCCGAGGTAGCTGGACAAGGATTTAAGCGATGCTAGGTGGCTTTGGGCTTTGCCGTCGAGTTCAGACTGGCTTAGGGAAGGATTTCGAAGAGATTTGGCATAGTTCTCGGCCTCGAAATCATGCGGGTCCGGACTGGGACGGGTATTGACACGATGAAGCATCGGTAATTTTTGATTGGACAACAAGCGTTCTTTCCTTGTTTCAGCCTCACTGCTTCTCGAGAGGTCTCCAGTTGCTCGAAAAATCTTAGCCACCCCTCAGGCGTTGACATTCGTGACGCTCAAATGCAAAGCTGCTGGACAGTCTGAGTGCATCCACTTTTTGCCCAAGCTTCGGATGCTGGTCTTCCAGGCGTGCATAACTCTTTTGATTTTCATTTGGCTGAGTCTGAGTCCATGCAGTCCCTGTGGCGACTCCGAGCCGTAAAGCTACGAAGGCCGACAACAAGAGCTCGGTCATGGAGCACCTGCCGAAGCTTGCCGGGTGTTGCACTCAACTGGCTGTGGATTTGAAGGCGAAGGCTTTCCGGCAGGATGCTGCCGGTGTGCTAAAGGGCAAACCCGATGCCCTCAAGAGCGCGCCCAATGCCGCCGTGAGCGAAGATGTCCCCATGATCAGTGCACTTCCAACGGTCAAGGATGCTCTCCAGGACCAGTACGATGCCCTGAAGGGCAAATACGATGTGCTGAAGGGAAAATACGAGGCCCTCAAGGACGGGCATGAGGCCCCCACGGTCCCTGCTGCCTCCAAGAGGACCGCTGTGCGCAAGGATCATAAGCATGGAGACCACGCTGAAGCTAGGCTGCCTTGAGAACAAGCAACGTATGATGGTTTAGGGTCTAGGCAGGGTTTGCTGCATGTGGTGTTTTTCCTGCTCCACAAGTTGCTTTGCACCTTCCTCGAAGCAAAAGTTCCTGCTCCAAAGAAGATGTTCTGTCTGGCGGAAAAGGACTGTAACAGCACTGAATATGTTTGCGGAGCTGCGGACGGCTAAGGAAGTGACATGTGCAAGCCGAGAGCCCGACTATAACCTGGACAGGGTCACGAGGCCACCACAAGAGGGAAGGCACTTCAAGTACAATCCCAGCAATCGCGGAGAGGCCAAGGAACGGAATAGCAACATCTTTTGGAATTTTGTTTCTTACGGAGAATACAGGGTTGGTAGGGTTTCAATTAAGTGTTCATTGTTTTTCCAAGCTCACAAGAACTTAGTAACTATGGTTGCGCGAAATAGCCGGTAAGTCTTTTGAGCAGTTGAACGCTAAGGCTGCCACGGTTTTTGTCATTGATTCCGGCATCAATGAGGGCCACGAAGAGTTCCGTCGCAACGATAAGGGCATTGTCAAGGTGGGTCTTTGACACAAACGACGATCCCGAAACTTCAATGAGGGGGCGAGTTCCAGAGATGGGATCAAGCGCCATGAGGGGGCGGGCTTAAGAATTGCCATCAACCACCATCGCCCAGTGAGGGGACGGGCTGATGGATTATGATCAACCAATGTGATCAGGCGCCATCACCGTCCGAGGGCTGCATAGGTTAGCGCAGCATTTCAATAGATCCGACAATGTGTTTTGTTGACGAGCTGCAGCTTTTAGAGCTCCGAACACTGTATCTTGTGGTAAGTGCAGCATATTCGTGAAACCGATAGCTGCAGATTGAAGCGTTTGCAGCTTCTCCAGAGTCTACAACTGGGTAGTGGGTCCATCTGAGTCAAGGATTTTGGTACGCTTGTGTATTGTGTTCTAGGCCTTCTAGGCATGGAGGACTTAAGGGACGGCAGCCAAAAGGTCTCAATCACCAACATGTCCCCGAATTGTCGTGGAATCTTGAAAGGGCAAGCAGATGTGTTGAAGAAATCCCCAGGTGTTGGGCAAGTATGTGGCACATGGAAAGCCGCCGGGGGAGGACAAGACACACGGCACCCACTGCGCTGGAATCATTGCAGGCGGCTCAATCTTGAGACGTTGGTGTCTCGAGTTCAGGGTTCAGAGTCATGTTTGAAGAGTTCCGGTGAGTAGCTAACTCTTCGGCACACATCTTTCATTACCGTGAAACGGTCATTTGGTCTGCAGCCAACTTGCCCGTCTTTTGGAAGGACCTGCCCACGACTTGAACTAGCCATGCCGTGGATGGACAGCCGAATACTGTAGACGTGATACACTGCGGCTGCTGGCATCTACATTTTACATCTTTGAGTCGCACAGTCCCCAGTTGCAAGTAGAAGCTCTACTCTCACCTATTTGCAGCTTGTCCCATGTGGGTAATTAATGTTAGCGAGTTCCCGAAACCCTAAGACTCAAAGCAGCACTACTAGAAACTCGAGTCCTTGGGGAAATGGACCAGACTCTGGAGACCATGCCAACACTTAGATGGCCAAAAGGACCAAAGTCTTGATTACGCCTCAATGCACCGTACTCACAAAGTTAACTAAAGCTCATGCACCAAGCCCTGCACGATCAGAAAGGCTGCGCCCAAAATACCCTACATAGAGCCCCTTTCTACGCACAAAATGCCGCGGCTCAGGAAACAATTACGGAGTGGCTAAGGGCGCTTCTGTGGTCGACGTTCAGGTGCGGGGAGTCTCCCAGTGATTCCCAAAAGACAACTACCAACAAAACTCCGAGACACTAAGCATCACACCTCTGTATTCGTGTTTGTGTATGTAATATATATATATATATATATATATATATATATATATATAGATATATATATATATATATGTATGTATGTATGTATGTATACGCATAAAATAGGTAGGTAGGTGGTTAATTGGGTCGGTAGGCAGTTATGTGTGATGTGTGTGTGTGTGTGTGTGTGTGTGTGTGTGTGTGTGTGTGTGTGTGTGTGTGTGTGTGTGTGTGTGTGTGTGTGTGTGTGTGTGTGTGTGGGGTGTGTGTGTGTGTGTGTGTGTGTGTGGTGTGTGTGTGTGTGTGTGTGTGTGTGTGTGTGTGTGTGTGTGTGTGTGTGTGTGTGTGTGTGTGTGTGTGTGTGTGTGTGTGTGTGTGTGTGTGTACTTCTGTTTTCTTGTGTTGGGCCGTAGTTTTGCGCCGCGTCTAGGAAGGGACTGTATAGGGGCTCGTGGGCATGTTTGTGCATGGCGAAATTGGTTACGTTCGCAGCAAGCAGGCCTTCTTATCAAGGGCTGCATTTCACGGTTGAAGGGTTTCTGTCTTTGGGCTCTCAGTGTCTTCAAGGTTTGCGATTTCCAGTACTGGTGCCAGTACCATGTTTTGCCCTCCGAGCTATTGAAGGAAAATTCTAGAAGCATGTCAATCCGACATTGGTGGTATAAGGTCACTTACAGGCCGAGAACCTTGTTCTAAGGAGTCTGTTGTTTGTGTCCGCCTCCATTGCCTGTGGAAGCTGCATGAAGCTGCCAGGTTTTCGGAGAGGAGGGAGGTAGCTCCTATTCCACCATCCTGGACGGAATGAACCTGGGTTTAAGGATTACAGTTAGGGTGTTACGTTGTCCTGCCCTTTTGCTTTCCCAACCGCTTAAAAGGCATCGCCTAGTTTTCCAATACTGGAGGATTTTGTTGTTAGATGGCGGCGGGAAAAATATTGAGGAGTGGACTGTGCAGGTTCAGGGCTTGCGGCAGATGTGAGCAGAGATGATTGAGTTTCCGTGCTTCTGAAAATTGTTGTAGGCGCGACGACATCATTTCTCTTATTGGAGATGTTCAACATGACCAAGTTGGCCCTATATTGCCTTACCGAGCAAAAGCCCAGGAACTTTGTCATGGAAAGCTGCGCTGGAGGCGAGACAATTTACTGTTTGGTGTCTAGGCTTCCCACAGAACGGCCACGCTGAGCACAAGTTAGCGGCTCTCAAGGTTGTCTGAACGCCCCTGGCAGTAATGACCTGAAAGCTTCTGCTCACTGATGCCACGATGGGCGTGGGAACCCATGAGTAAGGTAGTAAGCTGTGAGAGCTGTCTGACAGACAGATACATACCTTTGCAGACTCCGTTCGTAGAACACCATATCCCAAAACCTCATCCCTTTGTGCAGCCCTAGTCTGCCCCTTGCAATCTTTTTATGAACTTCTTCAAGTCTGCCACATCCCTCACGAAGGCATCTTTGTACACGTACATGTTGAAAATCTTCTTGGAAATCCGTTGCGACATCCTGTCTGCTTCCAAAAGCCATTGGGTCGGTTCCAATGTTTGGCTAGAAAAGGCATTTCCAATGGTCAGTGCCGCTATGGCACCTGGAGAACAATTCCAGCTCTGCACTCGATTTACCTATCCGGTTACGGATCCACACTGGCAGCCCTGATTTTCAGAAATTCCTCGTGGTGGTGCTTCTCGAATTGCTTGATGTAAAGCCTGCTGCAGTACCATGCTGCATCGTTCTAGAGCTCAGCAGAGCCTTCCAAACAGATACCTGTAATTTTGCCAAACTCTCCTGGTGGCTCCTGATGATCTTTCCCCCTTCTATCAAGAGTCTGCAGACAAGCTCTCGCAAAAGGCTTCACGTCCTACGGGGACGGCACCACGCGACGCTGCGTGGCAAGCATGTCCCTGGGCGGCCCAACGTCTTCCACAGTACCGTGGCTGCTCCGGAACGAGCTTTCGCTCCGCATGGGGTACGGCGTACAGTTTAGGGGGATGGGTACATCGCTTGTCCTGGCTGGGGCCCAATTTCCACCATACTTGTCTGCAAGTTCGCAGTGGTCCCATTACCGTCATCAACGTTTGAGGTTTCTTCTAACTTGAGCAAGTTGGGAAGTTGGTTTGCACGTGTCGTTATAAGTTACGGTAAGTGTCCCAAGCTCAAACTCTTGTACATATTTCTGTTTTGCATTGCACTTGTCCTTGCATGACAGAAGATGCCCTTCCTGTTTTGACTCTCTGTGGTTGCAAGAAGGGTTTTACTGTACACCCTTATTTTCGCCCAGCCTGCAATGTTCCGCAGGCTGTTCGGTCGTTCTTACATAGAGAGTAATGTGTTTGTGCCTGCGATATGAGTAGGAACTTCTATGAACACCTGGAGATTGCTTGCATCGCACCTAACCCGCCCCCACCCCTTTCTTTACACACGCCAGTTGTTGGGAGATCTTCCGATCATTGTTATTGTTGCGCCTCGCTACATGTTTCGGTGCAGTGATAATAGACATGAACCGTGCGGGGGATCTTCGAGCCGCATGTGTGGCAGGATGTTCCTCATTTCCTGAACTGGCCCTTACAGGATTTAGGTTCCTTTGTTTCCTAAGATTTTTTTACTCTCAACGCAGTCACAGCTTTCAGGAGCCTTGCAAAATCCACTATACCTTTTCGCACAAATCAGATCCCCCTCCCGCACGCGAACACACACACACACATCCGACAGAGCTTCACCTAGCCCCCAAGTCTTAAGTGCCAACCCAAAAACCTACTAAACCTCGAGCCCTGATGACCTCAACCTGAAATCTCCGCCTAGCCCACATTTTTCGAAGCTCAGACGCTGCACCGACAATGCTTTCAACGATCACTAAGCTCTGCACCCTAAGTTTTAAAGGCTGCACCTTGTTTGGAATGGCCTTACGGGAGAAGCCGATTACATTTCTGCATTCGAGCTTGGGTGCTGCATGTGTCTCGGGGCCCTTGGGCATTCGTAGATAGATACACACTCTCACACTGTGTTTGCCAACCTGTTTTGCATGCTCTTTCTTTGCAAGAGCCAGTTCATGTCTTCTGTCGATATCCATATCATGAGCGTATTGAGCGTCGTGATCAGGTTGTGAGCGCTCGAACGCCGGAGCGGGGGTAATGGGTACGAGCATACACAAAAGCTGGTGGTGCATATTGGCAAAACCCTGTCCATGACTTCAATCGGCGTGTTACTCCAACCTGAGTCCCGTGGCCTTGTATCTCACTTTACTTTCACTTGAGCTCCAGGCTTTAACGCGGGTTTGGACGCAGTGACACTGTCAGTTTCGGGCGTGTGTTTCTGGACATGGCTTCGGCAAGAAACAAGAAATTGGTGCACTGCAGCGACTTCTGGCATGCACCAGGTTTCGGACATAGTTCTTATGTCTTAGTTGTTCACTGGCGCCTTATTCCCATTTCGGGACTGGTTTTCGGAATTCAAACTGTTGTCCTAGCCTCCCTTTGGTGCCGGCATCAGACGCATCCAACCTCAAGGTCAACAGCGCAGTGGAGCGAATGGTAGCAGCCAATATAGTTGTTGTGGTGGCAGCTGGCAACGAGGCAGAGAGGGGTTTGGGGTTCAGGGCTCAGGATCCGGCGTCGGGTGTTTGAAAGCTGCTGTTGTACCAGACAGGGATCGCAAAGAACGTGTATATAAGAGAATCCGAATGAAAAGGCTCTTCTAGAACCTAATCTCCAAGTCCGAGCCCTCGACTCCAAAGAAACATAAGCTGTGAGGCCTGAGTTCTCCAGGCCCCAACCCAAAACTCAAGACCAGCGCTCAGACCCCCGAACAAAGAATTTCGGGCCGTCAAACCTAAGACCCCAAAAGATTTGAATGCTGCGGTCTACCGACAATCCTAGGTAGGACTGCAGAAACATTGAGCTGCACGGTCCTGGACCCCAGAACCCCAAGACCCTGAATGATTTGAACTCGAGTCCTGAAGAACTCAGAATGATCGAAAGTTGCGGTCTTGCAGAATGTCTGAATGTCACGGTCCTGAAACCAGAATTTTGAGGTCCGAGAACTCGGAGCCACGCCCCAAGTTCAAAGACCCCAGAAGGAATGATTTGTCTGGGAGGCCCCAAACACTAAGTCTTCACAAGATTCGAAGTGTCGGGTTCGCAAGCAGGCCTAAGGCCTCAAGCCTTGGACCTTGACACCACAAACCCTCAAGCACCGAACCCCAGTTTCTACACAGTGTTTCATAATGTTTAGGGTGTTTCAGAGGTTGCTGTGGGGCAGACTAATTAATCCGCACAACCTACATAGCCATCGTCGCAGCCTCAACGATCGCATGTCAAAGGACCCGAGGCCCAAGCCTGAGTTCCTGCTTGCAGAAACGAAAGGCCATGAACGCGCTTTATGTCTCGCCAGCTTCGGCCCCCTCTGCCATCACCGTGGGCTCCATGGGAGTTTCCAAGGTTCAGGGCGGGGACTACGTGGCGAGGAGAGGGTTGCAAAACTTAGATCTTCAATAATTAATTATAAGACTGAGGTTCAACTTCATGCAGAAATGTGGAGATAAGGTTGTCAATTAATGTACAAGCTTGTGCGGTTCACCTTCCAGAATCTAACCGTGGCTATCCGTTTGATTTAAGCTCCTACAACTGAATCCGAAAACCCGCACTTTAATTGCGGCGGTGTAGTTTCGATCATTCCTTAGGTACTCCAACTGGGGCCCGGCTGTGGACATTTTCGCACCGGGGGAAGCAATTATTGCAGCTGATGCCTTCAACAGCAACGAGTATGTTTCTTGGTAAACGTATGATTTAGCGTTTACAGTTGAGGGATCATGCTGCAGGACATTTTAGATTGTGGGTCAGGCAGACGTGATGATTTGGGGTTCGCATCTCGTGTGCTTAGGACATGCCTCGTTTTACAAGACACAAGATGTTAGGCCGGCCTGACTGTTTGGTGTCTTTCTTGCATCAGCTAGTTTCATAATTGCAGGCGACCCCGGCGGCCTACGACTTTTAGCATATCCATGCAGAGGTATACCACCAACAGGAGAGCCAGTAAACACAAAATATCTCAGAAATCCTCACGAGGAACGCTTCTCATGTTCCCCCCAATACACACATAAATACCGCGATACTTCTCTAATTATTTCGAATCGTCTATCCATACAACAGGGGAGCCTGTTGCCATTTAGACTGCTTATCTCTTCATTCCCTCCACAAACCGGCACAATACTTGTACTCTAAACTCCTAAGTGCAAGGTTCGATTGTCTGGTACTTCCATGGCTTGTCCCCACGCTGCTTGGCCCTTCTACAGGGTGTAGGATTTACTAGAGTCATCTTTCGAACCGGTCAGATTTCTCCATTTTCTAGTTCTATTTGGGATCCTACTCGAGATGTTGCTGAGTTTGGTCAGAGTGGCTAGAGACTGCATACCACCAGTACACTGAAAGATCCCAAAGATCCCAAGTTTTTTCTGACAAGAGCTTGGACGTCTCTCCACTTTCTAATTCCAAATGGCCGCTGCTGCCAGTTGTCCATACTGTTAGGTAGGCTGAAGCAATCACCGCGCATGCGCTCTGGCTACCACGAAACCGCTGTTAAGCACTGCAGACTCCGGCCTGCCTAGACTTTCACAAAATCAGAGGCGTTTCAGCCACTTCTACTCTTTCAGAAGGTCCTGGTCCTATGTAGAATTCCATCAACAACTTTGGCTACCGGGGTACGCCCCGCAACTTATAGCCTCTTCCCCTTGTGATGACCTGCTCTCACTGCATGCAGATCCTTTGACGAACTTGTAGACACATGTAGAACTGACATGAAACCCCAGAAGTCCCCTATTGGTGGGCTCGACTAATTTTTCGAGACTTCCGTGCCCAGTACTCTAGGGCTTGAGAAGCATGGGTAATTTGCTGGAAATCATGAGATAGCTGACTTGCAGTAGCCTCCAGGTGGCCGGAGCAGCCGCCATCCTGCTCAGCCAGCATTCCGCCCTCCCGGCCTCCTCGATGAAGGAGATCGGTGGGCCTCATGCGGAGAGCACGGGGTTTGGGGACAACACTGAACAAAGGTCTATTGGCAGTTACGGGCTCGGAAGAAATGAAATCCCCGTGCCCACATGAATGGGCTGCATAGCCCTAAGGCCCTCCAGTTTGAGAACCCGCATGAAGTTCCACGATGAGTATTGCTCGGGACATGATCGTTGTCCTTCATCGCTCGGGTTCAGGATCTGGGGTTTTGGATTGAGGGTGTGTGTTTCATGCAGGCGTACTTCTGAAGGAAGTGCTGCTCAAAGCCCATACAACCCCTGGGAGAGTCGGCAGCACCTTCCACAGTTCGTGAGATACGGGTCTTCAGGAATCGGGCAGTACCTGCCATGCCGGAGGTTCGGATTTGAGGCTTAGGGTTTGTTTAGGGGATGTCTGCCCCTGGATTAAATGAGGCTGACAGGACTCGATTGTGAGTAGAATGAGTAGAAGCTAAGAACCCAGAAGGCGGAGCTTGTGAGAATTGCTTCAGAGATTTGCCTCAAATTGCACTCCTGCTTCACTACTATGCCCTGAACCATAGACCCACCTCCATTATGAGTCAGCCCTTTGGATGTCTGTAAATAATCCACATATCCAACCACTGCTGATTCCGACACCCTTCCACACACTTTAAGCCCCAATCCTTGAGCCCGAAACAGGAGACTCTACTCCGCCTTGCAAATGAACGCATCACCGGTCCTTCCTGCAGCTTCGCGATCCTGCAAGTTCCAGAGACGACCGACAGGACATGAAGCTCACGGGAGTTTGCACAGCCAGCTTACAACTTGTTTGTGTTTCTCTTGTTTGGCTCCTATTATGAACTCTGAATCGAACTAGTCTTGGAAGAAGAGCATGCAGAGAAATGGTTTTAAGGGTAGTTTAGGGGTTACATAAGTCAAACGGCATATCATCTGCGTATCAGATGTGATTGTAAGGTGGGGAATTGAGAACCGGAGTGCCCTCCCGGCGCAGTATAAGGCATCGATAGTGTATTGCGAGGTTCACGTCAAAGGAAGACAGCTGCTTTACTTTTGGATTCACGGGTGACGCCAGGGCGAACACCTGACCATATTTCAGTCGTGTAACATGCGTGCTGTTTTTACAGGACATTGATGGATGCCGAAACGCACCAGACTTGCGACAACGACTTCAGCGTTCTCCTCGACATGACATCTCCTGTGCTGGTTTCCCCTTGTGGCTTGGCAATGCAGACAAAACCTTGAGCTGGTGGGAGTTGCGGCTTGTGCGGCGAACTACACGGGTTTCGGGCGTTTGGAAGTCAGACCTCATGCTGCAAGGCTGTGTAAATCGTTTATGGTCCCTACATATTCGAAAAAGATCCAGTTTGGCACGGTTCCATGAGTCCGTTTCGCTTTATAGTTCTGAAGATTGAGTAGGACGGGATGGATAAAACGCCCACACCGGACGTATTGCCAGCCTCGTTAAGTGGAGGAACCATGGGGCCCTTCTGTAGCAAGGTTACAGTAGTTCCTTCCCCCTACTATTGAATATCTCAATCTTCGGGAGGCGAGAGTCCAATATGGGCAAATAGGGCAGACGCAAGTTAGTTTAGACATGGAAAGCAAACCTTAGTTAGTTTAAACACAGAAAAAACTTTCGGCAAGTTAGTTTAGACATGGAAAACAACCCCTTTACAGGGTCTAGTTCGTTTAAACACGGAAAAGCAAACTTTCGGAGTACCGGGTAGGCGCAAGTTAGTTTAGACATGGAAAACAAACCTTTTATGGGGTTTAGTTAGTTTAAACACAGAAAAACAAACTTTCGGCAAGTTGGTTTAGATATGGAAAACAAGCCTTTTACAGGGTCTAGTTAGTTTAAACACGGAAAAACAAACTTTCGGAGTACCGGGTAGGCGCAAGTTAGTTTAGACATGGAGGACAAACCTTTTATGGGGTTTAGTTAGTTTAAACATAGAAAAACAAACTTTTGGCAAGTTAGTTTAGACATGGAAAACAAGCCTTTTACAGGGTCTAGTTAGTTTAAACACGGAAAAACAAACTTTCGGAGTACCGGGTAGGCGCAAGTTAGTTTAGACATGGAAAACAAACCTTTTATGGGGTTTACTTAGTTTAAATAACAGAAAAACAAACTTTCGGGGTACCGGGTGGCGCAAGTTAGTTTAGACATGGAAAACGAACCTTTTATAGGGTTTATTTAGTTTAGACACCGAAGTTAGTTTAGACATGGAGTACAAACTTTGTATGGCATCTATTTCGTTTTTTCGGAGTTGAGGGTAGCCGCAAGGTAGTTCGATTTCTCAGTTCCGTGTAGGCGCGAGGTAGTTCGAATCCGACAGTCGCTTGCATGAAGATGCAGTCCTGATTGTCGGGCCCAAACAAGTTAAGATGCAACCATGGCTCGTATGCTATCTGTATCCAAGCTTTAGTTTGATTTTCTGTTATACTTTATTTGCTTCTTTCTTCGCTTCCAACCTTTTAAAGCGATTTCGTGTGGCCGGCCTCTGCGTTGGTGTTGGAAAAGTGTTTGTGTAATTTTCAGCTATACAGTTTTTATTTTTTGCTTTTAAACCCCCAAAGCGATTTCGTATGGCTGAATTCTTCGTTTTGGATATAACGTTTTCAACTAACTTTTGGTTATACAGTATTTACTTTCCTTTCTTCGCTTTTAACCCCCCTGAAGCGAATTCGTGCGGCGCTTCTTCTTGTAGGTAAGACAACCTCCACCTTCCGAGTTTGTTTACTTCCTTTTGGAGTTTGTCTGGAGTTTGGAAAAACAAAGCTATCTGTATCCAAGCTTTAGTTTGATTTTCTGTTATACTTTATTTGCTTCTTTCTTCGCTTCCAACCTTTTAAAGCGATTTCGTGTGGCCGGCCTCTGCGTTGGTGTTGGAAAAGTGTTTGTGTAATTTTCAGCTATACAGTTTTTATGTTTTTGCTTTTAACCCCCCCAAAGCGATTTCGTATGGCTGAATTCTTCGTTTTGGATATAACGTTTTCAACTAACTTTTGGTTATACAGTATTTACTTTCCTTTCTTCGCTTTTAACCCCCCTGAAGCGAATTCGTGCGGCGCTTCTTCTTGTAGGTAAGACAACCTCCACCTTCCGAGTTTGTTTATCTCCTTTCGGAGTTTGTGTGGAGTTTGGAAAAACAAAGCTATCTGTATCCAAGCTTTAGTTTAATTTTCTGTTGTACTTTATTTGCTTCTTTCTTCGCTTCCAACCTTTTAAAGCGATTTCGTGTGGCCGGCCTCTGCGTTGGTGTTGGAAAAGTGTTTGTGTAATTTTCAGCTATACAGTTTTTATGTTTTTGCTTTTAACCCCCCCAAAGCGATTTCGTATGGCTGAATTCTTCGTTTTGGATATAACGTTTTCAACTAACTTTTGGTTATACAGTATTTACTTTCCTTTCTTCGCTTTTAACCCCCCTGAAGCGAATTCGTGCGGCGCTTCTTCTTGTACCCTCCAGAGCCCTGTTCGCGCGCAACATGCGACGGGTTCAGGCTTGCGATTTTGCTGCCGGGCGCAGTACTTTCAGGCATTCTTGCTTCTAGAGGGTGCCAAAGTACTGGTTTTTGCAGCATTTCCTGCACGTGTCCGGGTTGTTCCCGCAGACCTCTGAGCCTCGAAGAAGCTTCAGCCATGATGACGTGCAGATCAGACTCCATCCATTGCCGCAGAGCATCCATGTGCCAACCATGATGACGTGCAGATCAGACTCCATCCATTGCCGCAGAGCATCCATGTGCCAACCATGATGACGTGCAGATCAGACTCCATCCATTGCCGCAGAGCATCCATGTGCCAACCATGATGACGTGCAGATCAGACTCCATCCATTGCCGCAGAGCATCCATGTGCCAACCATGATGACGTGCAGATCAGACTCCATCCATTGCCGCAGAGCATCCATGTGCCAACCATGATGACGTGCAGATCAGACTCCATCCATTGCCGCAGAGCATCCATGTGCCAACCATGATGACGTGCAGATCAGACTCCATCCATTGCCGCAGAGCATCCATGTGCCAACCATGATGACGTGCAGATCAGACTCCATCCATTGCCGCAGAGCATCCATGTGCCAACCATGATGACGTGCAGATCAGACTCCATCCATTGCCGCAGAGCATCCATGTGCCAACCATGATGACGTGCAGATCAGACTCCATCCATTGCCGCAGAGCATCCATGTGCCAGCCATGATGACGTGCAGCTCTTCGCCTGAAGAGAAAAAATACAGCATTTTTTCGGACTTGTACTAGGTAAGACAACCTCCACCTTCCGAGTTTGTTTATCTCCTTTCGGAGTTTGTCTGGAGTTTGGAAAAACAAAGCTATCTGTATCCAAGCTTTAGTTTAATTTTCTGTTATACTTTATTTGCTTCTTTCTTCGCTTCTAAACTTTTAAAGCGATTTCGTGTGGCCGGCCTCTGCGTTGGTGTTGGAAAAGTGTTTGTGTAATTTTCAGCTATACAGTATTTAATTTTTTTGCTTTTAACCCCCCAAAGCCATATCGTATGGCTGAATTCTTCGTTTTGGATATAACGTTTTCAACTAACTTTTGGTTATACAGTATTTACTTTCCTTTCTTCGCTTTTAACCCCCCTGAAGCGAATTCGTGCGGCGCTTCTTCTTGTAGGTAAGACAACCTCCACCTTCCGAGTTTGTTTATCTCCTTTCGGAGTTTGTGTGGAGTTTGGAAAAACAAAGCTATCTGTATCCAAGCTTTAGTTTAATTTTCTGTTATACTTTATTTGCTTCTTTCTTCGCTTCCAACCTTTTAAAGCGATTTCGTGTGGCCGGCCTCTGCGTTGGTGTTGGAAAAGTGTTTGTGTAATTTTCAGCTATACAGTTTCTAATTTTTGCTTTTAAAAAAAGCGATTTCGTATGGCTGAATTCTTCGTTTTCAACTAACTTTTGGTTATACAGTAGTTACTTTCCTTTCTTCGCTTTTAACCCCCCTGAAGCGAATTCGTGCGGCGCTTCTTCTTGTAGGTGAGACAACCTCCACCTTCCGAGTTTGTTTACTTCCTTTTGGAGTTTGTCTGGAGTTTGGAAAAACGAACCCCTCCCCCAGAGTTTGTTTTTTGGTAGGAAAAACACACTCTTGTGCCCCCCTTTCCCCCTCCCCCCCACGGAGTTTGTTTTTCCGAGGATACACAAACCCCTCCCCCCAGAGTTGGTTTTTTGTAGGAAAAGCAAACCCCTCCCAGAGTTTGTTTTTTTGCAGGAAAAGCTAGCCCCTCCCCCCAGAGTTTGTTTTTTGTAGGAAAATCAAACCCCCCGGCACCTCCGCGCCGCCCCCTAGCGTCACTTAAACAAACAAACTTCTCCCATCGGAGTTTGTTTCTCCCCGCTGAAACAAACTCCCCCCCCTAGAGTTTGTTTTTTTTAGGAAACAAAAACTCCCCTCCCCCCCCCTCCCCTCCGGAGTTTGTTTTTACTTCTGAAAACAACCCCCTCCCCCAGAGTTAGTTTTTTGTAGGAAAAACACACTCTCCTGCCCCCCTTTCCCCCTCCCCCCCACGGAGTTTGTTTTTCCGAGGATACACAAACCCCTCCCCCCAGAGTTGGTTTTTTGTAGGAAAAGCAAACCCCTCCCAGAGTTTGTTTTTTTGCAGGAAAAGCTAGCCCCTCCCCCCAGAGTTTGTTTTTTGTAGGAAAATCAACCCCCGGCACCTCCGCGCCGCCCCCTAGCGTCACTTAAACAAACAAACTTCTCCCATCGGAGTTTGTTTCTCCCCGCTGAAACAAACTCCCCCCCCTAGAGTTTGTTTTTTGTAGGAAAAAAAACTCCCCCCCCCCCCCCCCCTCCCCTCCGGAGTTTGTTTTTACTTCTGAAAACAAACCCCTCCCCCCAGAGTTTGTTTTTTGTAGGAAAAACACACTCTCCTGCCCCCCTTTCCCCCTCCCCCCCACGGAGTTTGTTTTTCCGAGGATACACAAACCCCTCCCCCCAGAGTTGGTTTTTTGTAGGAAAAGCAAACCCCTCCCAGAGTTTGTTTTTTTGCAGGAAAAGCTAGCCCCTCCCCCCAGAGTTTGTTTTTTGTAGGAAAATCAAACCCCCCGGCACCTCCGCGCCGCCCCCTAGCGTCACTTAAACAAACAAACTTCTCCCATCGGAGTTTGTTTTTCCCCGCTGAAACAAACTCCCCCCCCTAGAGTTTGTTTTTTTCGAAGAGTATCCCTGGACCCCTGTTGCGTGGTACCCCGCTGCGCATAGGCCATGATTGCCATATATACCCTATGAAGCCAATAGATCCCATAAACCCTAATTTGGCATGGACCCAACAGTGGCAAGCACTGTTTTTTCCGTCGTTTGCAGTTGTCAAGTTGTTGGTTTTGCGTCCCCACCATTGGCTTGTTAGACGGCTGGCTCGAGTCAAAGTCGGGCCCAAACGAACTTGTCTGAGTGTGCATCTGCAACTACCCGAATTCAGAATTCATGTCATATCATAGGCTTGGAACCGTCGGTGGTAAGTGCAGTGCAAGCTGAAATCGTGGTAAGTGCATCGCAAGCTGAAATCTCGCGCTGATGGCTGCAAAGCGAGCGCGACTTGATAATGTCCTGTGTGGGGGTGATGAGCAGGCAGCTGTTGAGGCTGATGATCACAAGCCTGAGGGCCAAGATGAACCTGGTGGTGGGGTCGACATGTCAGATGTTGATGAGGAGATGGATGACGGTGGTGGAGATGATGCTGGTGAGCAGACGGCGCCGGAGAACCCGTTTGGTGGCACGAGCGACGAAGCTGCAATAACAAGGGCTTGCAGTGCTTCAGTTTGCATGAATCCATTATGGGAGTGCTCTCGGTTCGGAGCTTAACTTAGGAGATCTTCGCTGCCCGGACTTTTACCTCATTGCATATCCCAGTGTCGATGACAACCTGCAGTGTCAGTGGTCTACCAAGCAACTAACGAAACTTCTTTGCCCTGGAGACGTCCCAGATGACAAGCTGCGCATCTTGTATTGATTCATATTGCCTGGCTCAGTCAGTGCCGCGGTATCTGCGTGACACTTGATGCAGTTTGCTCATGAGGTAAATTCTGGAACAAGAATGAGAAAGTGATTCTGGATTCGCATGCCGAGATCTGGCCAGGAACGCAACCTCGGCTTTTGCGATCGCCCAAGGATACTACTACGGCAACTCCGGGGGAGGCTTCCTCAGACCCAGCCACTTGGCCCGAGTGCTAGCTGAGTGGTCTGACTGAAACCAAGCAATGGCCATACTATAGGGATGTCGCTGGTTCTGCCGAGTCAATCCGACTGAGGGCAAACTGTTGGATGAGAAGGTCGTGCCGACAACGGTCCTGATTGCAGCGCTGAGCTGGGGAATGGCAGGTAAACGACGCGAGCTAGGGAATCGACAACACTGTTGCAGATGCTTTTCGACATTGGTTGATGCGTGCAGTGCGACTGGCCGCCTCCGTCTGAAGTTCTATTGCATGACTGACATGCCGCCCCCAGGCCATCAGTGATTCGTTGCGTTTGCGCCAGGAAGTCGAATCAGAACCAGTTGAAACGAGTGCATCGTTGTATTAGGCACCGTGCCGATAGAGATGAAGATGCCGACATCATCAGAATTTCCGCTTCGCCTACTCGTCGCTCCCGGATCTTGGGATCATATCGAGAGGCAGTGGAATCAGGAACTTCAGGACCCATTCCTTGCATATGGCATGTTTCATGTGCTTGTTTGCTGTGCTGCCTAGCCTGTGGATGCTGAGACTTTGTTTTGAGGACATTTCGAGAACATGGGTGAAATCATCACCCGAAAACTCCTCACTGGGGTCCGTGATTGCTTTTGGCTTGGACCCGTATCTTGCCAATAACTTTGTACTGAGTTATTGCAGGATGACTAGAACAGACACGCAGCGATACTGAGGTCCCACAAGGACAAACGCCTGCAGCCACTCCGCGGGCACTGCCTTTCACTGCTTTCCCAGATAGCCAAGTTTGTTGCCCCGTGGTAGCACAAATGCCTGCATTTCATGTTATTCCTGAGGTAGACATACGTTTTGTCGTGGGGAAGTGTGTGAAGTTGACAAGGACGATTGCCTGGATGAGATCACGACGGAAGCACCTGACAAGACTCGGACGAAGACTGCTTCCGGGAAACAGGCAAGGTTGTCCCTGAGTATGACCCGTCGTTTCGAGATTGTAAAGATGGTGCGGGATGGAAAGCCCCTTGGTTGCAATGCCTCATTATTACAATCATCCTGCCTCTTTCAGACCTTGTGCTTGGCTTGACTTGTCCATTTCTGTGCCAGGAAGTTTACACTCGCTGCCGCTTTGGATCATTTTCGCGTGCCGTCAGTGAGCATTTGCTGGTTGGCATTTTGGGACATGGCACCTTAGCAGCACCCGCTGGGCATATCATAATTAGATAATGCCGGATTTAGGGCGGATCATGCCGCAAAAAAACATACCAGGTGACCTACCTCGGCAAGGCATTGAACATCTTTGGTGCTGAGCCGCACCTGCATGTTCCCTGACCAAATTCAGTGGTGCTGTGTTTGCTGTTCGATGCTGTGGCTTGAGTTGCTAGTTATGTTGCTGCTACTGAAGACTGCTAGGTGTCTTTCGATGGCAGCAGCATAGGAGGCACTCCGGTGGAATTGTACAAGTTCCACAGCCGCGGGGCAGCAAGTAAGTAGTAGGGCTTGGGCATCACACATGAGAATGTAACTCCCAGGTCCGAAAAGGAATGTGTCTGCTTACGCTCCGCCTCTTGCAACTGGGCACGCACCTACTAATCACTGCTGCCAATCGTCGGAGTGAGTTGCTAGAAGCGGCATTGATGTGACACCATTGCACTGCTGCACTGCGACTCGTTCTGCCAGACTCGGCTCGGTTCTCATGTGCAAACATGTCGAGGGCACGAGGCTGCTGGTTCTAAGGCGTTCAGGCTTTAGGATTCAGGGTTTAAGTTAGGGTTTAGGAGGTAGGGTTTGTTTAGCTAGTGAATCTGAATCAATAAAATCTTTTCATAGAGTTACTTCGGGTAACTTAGCACCAGCAGTAAGTAGGATTGGTAGTAGAGCTCCGGGTGCAATCACTCAGTCTTTTCGACTCCATGTCGTGCATGTCTACTCTGGACGTCAGCGAAAGCTTTGCCGACGACGAGTCCCCCTTGCCGACGCAGTCGTCGGCCCACGGATCGGACCGCATGATGTGAAATGACCTCGTGCATTGGATTCTCCGGAACTCATCCTACAATAAGAATAATCCATAACACAAACGTATCGACGTGGTTCAGTTGCAGGACTACGACTGGAGCACGCTGCAGCGCGCGTTTTCTGGAATCAAGCAGGCATGGTACGCTACCCAGCAGCTGGTGCCGGACACTGTCCTCTCTGTTCCTCGATGGCACAAGGTTCCTAACTGTGGGGGTGCATAGCATAACTGATTTAATTATGTTGACTGTCTGCCCAGCTACTTGGGGCCTCAGGAGTCATGGTTGTCAAAGGCTTCCTCGGCCAGTAGCTGCTGCACTGGTGCCGGCACAGCAGAGATGTCCAGGGCAGTGTTGGAGATGATAGTCAATGCCTCAGGGGCAGTGGACATGGAGATTTCTACGGTGGCCACATGGGAGACTTCGCAAGCACTAGAGTGTGTCGTTCCAGCTCTCTCAGTTTTGTTCTAGCCTTGAGATCCAAATCTAGGACTTACTTGTTCCTAAGGAGAAAGAGCCCAAGTGCCACCAAATACTCCGGGACAACATGCTCTGGTGCAGCCGGGTTTTGGGCCGCCCCGATGATCCGTGCATGTTTGGCAATGTGCTGGACGTGTTCCCTGACTTCTCTGATCAAGGGTCTTTTCAAGAAAAGAGGCGACAACTGCTTGGGTGCCGCAGGCAGACAATGTGTCACTGCCGAGTTCACGGAGCCAGCGCTCCGAGACAAGCAGACTTGTGTCGCATTCCATCCTCTCATTTCGATGTGAGTGGCCTTCCGTGCCCGGATTTTTCTGCAGCTGGAAAGAGGCGCCGGGCGGAAGGCCCCACCAACGCCGTGTTTCTCGCACACGGACGCATGCACGGGGAGCTGCAGACACCACTTCTGCTGTTGGAGAATGTGCAGGCGCCTCGTCTGTGCAGTATGTATTATTGTTTTATTTAGCACTGGGTAGAGTCGTTAGTCGTTAACCAAAGACGCGAATAATAATGCGTGTTGCTCCGACTCGGGTCCATTATGCTGACTGACTGAGGGCCTTGACATGCAGATGGTGCAGCAGACGCACCCCGACTACGAGTGGTACCAGATCTTCACGGAGCCCGGGGAGCTAGGCTTTGCAGCGACATCCCGAGCACGCACCTACGTGATAGGGGCCCACAAGTACAAAACTGTGTGCCTGCACGACCCTTTCGAGTTACATGATGCGATCAAGAACAGAATGGCCGAGTATGCCCAGACGACGGTGAGTGACTACTTAGTGGCTACTGAGCAGGAGATCATCATGGAGGCACAAGACACCGGCCGCACACGCAAGGTGGTGCATCGACCAGGCGTCCAGGACTACAGTTACTACTTGACTCAGAGGGAACTCCATAGCAAAGCCGTCTTGGACAACAAGTACAGGCAAAGGTTCAACAGTGAGCCCGAGACGAACCCCAACTTGGTCTACAATTTGGGCGACAACGCCGAGTGGAACACGTCATGGAGTGCATGCAGTGGTGCCTTGCCCACGTTTAGGCTGGGGTCTTCGACGGCAAAGTTCTGGCTGCCGAAATACAGAAGGTGGCTAACCTGCCGAGAGAAGCTTGTTGCCATGGGCTTCCCGGTCACGACCGAATGCGCCGAAGCACTAGGCACACCCATTGTGTTCGTTTCGGATGTCAGGCGTGCCGCTGATATCCTGGGAAACTGTATGCACTTCACGACGGCGGGGGTCATGCAGCTCATAGCGCTGTCCTGCTTCGGGCCTGCTGAGCTTGAACCGTGGGGCCCGAGCCACTGAAAAAGTAGTTCTGAGGCAGATGATCTGATGTCAGAATCAATCAGCTGGTGCCACATCATGCTGTTGACCTGTGCTGCTTGCAAAAGCCTTGAAACCTTTGATGTGAATCTTGCGTGTAGCTTTTGCAGGTCCTGTACAGGCTAGGGTGACTTGGACTGTAGGCTTCGTTGCTCCAATGTCGCCGCTGAGTGATTTCTTTAACACGTGGCCCGATGGAACTCGGATGGATGACGACAACGTGTCAATGCGATCTGAAGTTGCCCCTCCCGCTGCGACCTCTAAAGCCAGGCGAAGCAACAGTGCAGCGCAGCTTGAAGGTGAGCCTTCGGAGCCCAAGCGTCGTCGGGCAAGTGCTCTGCGGCCCAGTACAGCTGCCCCGGCAGGGGGCGGCGCAGCGCCAGCAGCAGCACCCAATCCTTCGCCGGTTGTGGGTGCGCAGCAGCAGCCAGGTTTGTGGCGTTTGGTTGCGGTTCCTTGACAGATCTAGGCTAGGTATGGCATGACTGCTTGCTAGCTTTTTACCTTCGGACCCTGATGCCTATTATGTGTTCAAGATAAGGACTCGACGCTCAGGGAATATATGGAGGCAGCCGAACCTGTCAAAGCTGGGAGATCCTTTACGAACAAGATGGGCTCGAAGGTCGTCCGCTTGGCTTTCTATGGCATGTTTCGCAAACTGCCAACAGATGCTACGGACTCGAATCTTGACATACCAATGACTAAGGGCTCTTAGGTTAGGATTAGGGGGTATCAGCATTCCTCAATCACCCTGCTGCCAAGGGGGGACAAGCGCACTCAGATCACTCAGCTCAAGAACGAGTACTTGCGTTTGGGGCAGCCGATGCAGGACTGTACGCTGCTGGACTTGGTGCGACGGGTGGAGATCGAGTTCAGCAAGAACAAGGTCTTCGAGGTAGGCCGAGGCGCGAGAAGTTGGGAGGGTTTCAAGTTTTAGGCTTTAGTTTTTCAGGGTTTAGGAGTTTAGGCTCTAGGGTACACACGTCTAGGGGTCAACCCTAAACCCCACACCCCAAAACGACCCCAACAAACCCTAAACCCCTAACAAACCCTAAACCCTGACAAACTCTAAACCTTGACAAACTCTAAGCCCTAACAAACCCTAAACCCCAACAAGCCCCAAACCCAAACAAACCCTAAACCCCAACATACCCTAAACCCTGACAAACCCTAGACCCCAACAAACCCCAAACCTTAACACACCCTAAACCCAAACAAAGCCTAAACCTTAACACACCCTAAACCCGAACAAACCCTAAACCCTAACAGACCCTAAACCCCAACAGACCCTCAACCCTAACAAACCCTAAACCTTGACAAACCCTACTGTAAAAACACGACGATGCACCCCAGCATACTTCAACTCAACTCCACACACCTCAATACCACAACGCCACAACACCACAACACCGCAACCCCACACCGTTGACACCACCACACCACGCACCACAACACAACAAACCACACACACACACACACCAAAGTCCACACACTACACATTCGTGCTAGAGCATCCGTGTTCCCTGGCAGGTGCTAACCAGTCCTGGATTGTGCTCTGCGGGGACCATTTCCGCAAGCTGCCGCAGCCGGAAAGTGGAGCCTGGGAGGCTCATGCCTTAATAATAAAACTTCCCCGTGGACGTTAAGTTAGGTTGAAACATTGAATCGACAGCTAAAGTAATGCTGGGATGATGTTGCCAGGTGAAGATCGATCCCAGCACGCAGGTGCCGTATTTGGATGACGAAGGCCATTCCAGAATGTGGGCGATCAGTCCATTCCAGAGCAAGGACCGGTCATCAACACTGGATCACACATCTGAACAGCCAGTACGAAGATCAATTCTGAACGTGAGAGATGCTCTTTAAAACCTTAAGCCCCGTAAGTACTGCTAATCCATGAGCCACAGACCGTGAAACTTAGCATTGCGCCATCTCAGAATAGTTTCGAAACTCACGTTCATGCTTGTCTTATACGGACACACCTCTTAGAAACTAAATGGATGAAAGCTCGGATGGTTTTGGGCCACTGTCTAACTTTTTTTCTACATATTCACCACAAAGCCATATTGCACCAGGAGCAGGATCGCGACTACCTGCCCGACTTGGACATTGCCCGGCAGCGCATTACCGACGCCCCACCGCCCGGTGCCGCCAGGCTTCCACCCGGAACGACACATGCTCCAGAGCCTGTGAGGGACGTCCGGCCGGTCCACGCGGGTCCTGGTGCCTGGGCCCAGTGTTATTCTCTTTGTTGGGGTTTAGGGTTTGTTAGGGTTTAAGGTTTGTTAAGGTTTAGTTTAGTTTAGGGCTTGTTAGGGTTCAGGGTTTGTTGGGGTTTAGGGTTTGTTCAGGTTTAGGATTTGTCAAGGTTTAGGGTTTGTGAGTGTTTGGGGTTTGTTGGGGTTTAGGGTTTCTTAGGGTTTAGGAGTTGTTAAGGTTTGCTTTAAGGCTTTTCAGGGTTTAGGGTTTGTTGGGGTTTAGGGTTTGCTAGGGTTTAGGGTTTGTTAATTTAAGGTTTATGGTTTGTTAGGGTCTAGGGTTGGTTGGGGTTTAGGCTAGGGTTTGTTAAGGTTTAGTTTAGGGCTTGTTAGGGTTTAGGGTTTGTTGGGGTTCAGGGTTTGTTAGGGTTTAGGGTTTGTTCATTGACAGGTGCAGCCGACACCCCGGTGAAGCTGGTGTGCTACTGCGACATGGAGCGGGGAACATGTGGCGTTTGCGGGCGTGGCTACATTCAGGAAGCCATGAAGGGGCTGCCGCCCAAAACAACCAGCAACCCCAGGCCAGACCTTCCACCAACAAGTGCAGTGGCCGAGAACACTCCGCCAGCGCTGCCCCCGACTGGTCCTGAACCCGCTGTTGTCCGAGCGCCGCTGCCCAGCACCCTGCCACCTGCAGCCACTGCACCGGTACCGGCCGAAAGTACTCCTGCTGCGTTGCTTGCACTGTTACCCAGCAGCCCGGCTCCAACCAAAGCCCCGCCGCGACCAAGCCCACAACGTCCTTCGCAAGCACCGCAAAGCAGCCCAGCTCCTTCGCTGCCAGCTGCCTTGCCACCGCAAAGCTGCCCAGCTCCTTCGGTGCCAGCTGCCTTGCCACCGCAAAGCTGCCCAGCTCCTTCGCTGCCAGCTGCCTTGCCACCGCAAAGCTGCCCAGCTCCTTCGCTGCCAGCTGCCTTGCCACCGCAAAGCTTCCCAGCTTCTTCCTTGCCAGGTGCGACGCCCCTGCAAAGCTTCCCAGCTTCTTCCTTGCCAGGTGCGACGCCACCGCAAAGTTTGCCAGCTGCGCTGCCAGCGCAAAGCAGCCCAGCTCCTTCCCTGCCAACTGCTGTGCCACCGGTGCCACCGCAAGGCTGCCCTGCTGCTGCCCCGCCAGCTGCCTCCCTGGCAGCCGTGTTGCCACCGCAAGGCTGCCACATGCCAGCCAATCCTCCCTCGTTGAGCCTTCCCGCAGCATCTCCAACTTGGACCAACCTGCCAGTGTTTCCGGGCATCAGCACTGCCGCTTGTCCACCAGATCCCAGGCCATCACAAAGCAATCTTGGCACTGTTGCGAAGGCCGCGCCGCCGCCCAGCTTTGGCATTGGCATGCCGTTCACAGCCGCAGCAGGATCCCTGCCGGTATTAAGCCCCAGCGGTTACATGCAGACCAACGTGGCCCCTCCCGCGTCTTTCCCCTGGGCAGGCACGTCCGAGAGAAAGTGCCCTAAAGGACCAAAAGTTTAAACTCCTATTAAGTCCCATTATCCCTCTTAATCTCCCCTATAATAGTCCCCTGTATACTCCCTATTGCAACCCCCCATGACGGACTTTAAGTTTAGACTACAGCTCATATTATAGTAAAGAGAGGGCATAGGGCCTTAGGGTGGGGCGTGGGATTTCGCTAGCAGCGCAGGCAAAGTAAGTCTTACTTACTAAGCGACCAGGCAGGGATATCGGGTTTCTGAGACTTCGGAGCTTTAATATTTAGGTTCTGTTTCGTCTGGGACCTGGGGTCAAGATGTTGGGTCTGGGAATCCAGCTCACAATTATTGAGTCAGTGTGCCGTGCATGAATGAAGTAGTGTGTACTGGCCGTAATAATATGTAGTATTCCTCACCCAAAATATCATAAAGTAGTGCGTGCTGTTAAGTTAATGGCTATGATACTGTGTAGTTTTCCTCTCCCAAAGTAGTATCATACATTCCAAACCAAATGCTCGAACTGCTCCAGACTGGATTGGAACCATGTACTGCAAGACTCACAACTAGATACAGACAGAGTGTAATCCTGAATTCTTGAAATAAAAGCCAAAACAGTACAAAGGACACTCCGAAGCCGCTAGCTTTTTTCTTATTCATTTATTAATGATGGGCTAATACGAAGCGACTTGCCACCAGGCCACGACATCTCCTACAACCGCACGGCAGATGGCCGCGATCCTCACGAGCTGGGAGGCAGTTCTAGAAGCGCTTTTGAGGGCATTCGTTCGCGCTTTCCAATATTATCTGATCTGGGTGGAGGGGTAACGGACTAATCCGAAGCGAATAGCCACCAGGCAACGACGCCTCCTACAACCGCACGGCAGATGGCCGCGATCTGTACGAGCTGGGAGGCAGTTCTGGAAGCGCTTTTGAGGGCACTCGTTCGGGTTTTCCAATGAATCTCTGGGTGGAGGGGTCAATCAAAGGCCCGGACAATCTATCTAGGAATCCAACTTAGGCCTACCATGTCACGTTAGTTGTCTTGGGCTAGGGGTTCAGGTCAACTGCTCAGGAGACTTGATTTTCCTTTGTGTCAGGAGTAGTGCAGTGGACCAGGCACAACTCACAACCGGGACTCCTGCATGCCTGAACTGAAGTTTCCGGCCCAGCCAACGTTCACAAACCTTTCTGTTATCCTGCTGCAGGGTCGCGTGACACGTGGGCATCGGGCCCAGAAGGCCTGGGGTTTGACGGTTTTGGGTTTTTTGGGGGGTTATTCACTTATTAAATACTTAGTGGCTAGTGATGGGTAGTCAGTGTTGTTGACATGCTGGGACCATAAATCTAATCATGTTGCCATCGTGCGACACTGCAGTCAGTAATTGCTTAGCCGGCAATAATTCACCTGGAGTATCAATATGTCTGCGCACTTCGATTCATTCAGGTCCACAACTTTAAGTTTAGATGCCTCACATCCCAACCAATTGCCACTATCATGGAAGCAGCTTAGGCTATTAGGTCTTTAGTCATCTGATTATGTCGTATGGTCCTGTCAATATTACTCGTTCATTATTCCTCAATTCTGAGCTGACCGGGATCCTATGTAATGTAGTCAAATTCTAATCTGATAATCTGTTGCGATAAGCGAGACTGCGGGTTAAGGGTTGACCTTCTCAGGCAGTTTCTTTCAAGAAGGGTGCATATACTAGTTGATATCAACAATCCCCAGACCCTAAGCTTAGAACCATAGATAATGTAATGTATAATGTTGCACTGTCTCACGCTTAAATCGACGACCCACTGTACTTCAAAGGTGCCGGCCGGGGTTCTGTGTTTACTGCTACTATATAATGTATCTTGGAGTCGACAATACACATTTTGTTTGTTCTGCGGCTTTACTTAAATTTAGTATTTGACAGGTCTTAGATGCTGCTTTTAAAAAATCGTAAAAAAATCGGGCAATACAGCTTAAAGCTAAAGCTTGAAGGGTTTTCGATCATTGGAACCAGCTCTGCCATTTTGTAAACCTTTCTTTTCCGTTTACATGAAAGACCAAAGCAAACTTTTTCAATTTAGGAGAAGGTGCTTTTTTTCCGTGGAAATTAATTTGCTCACGTTTCAGGCAAGCTTCATAAGTCTATTGATTTGTATGGATTATGGAATCTGTGATATGAACCTTTTATCTGTTTGCCATGGGAATTACCAAAGCGCACTGGGTGCGCTTTGGCGTTTCCTACGCACAACACATGCTGGAACTC